CCTTGGATGGCACAATTTCAAAGGTCGGCCGGAGTTCCCACCGTTTAGGTTTGGAACCATTTCCAAATAGATCTGGGGGTGTTGAATGGGCCTCAGTTCGCCCAGGGATCTGAAAAACGGGACATAGGTATCATAGGATGTTCACCTTCAGTATTTTCCCCAGCTGCCTGCAAGCAATCAGTCCCAAAGGGACACAACATGCTACATGCCCCTTTATCTAGAAAACGGTTTGGATGTGGTTTTTGTGGTTCCACCCCTGTAGAATTTTTAAAAGAGTACTAAAAGAGTACTAAAAAAGGACCAACAGGGGGAAGAACAGGTGAAATCCACAAAAGGCGCATCCAAAACGGTTTCTAGACTTTATGCCCCTGCTCTTGCACCAAACCTTTCCGGGGGCAACCCTGCTTTTTTTGTTTGAAGGCTACATCTCCGGATCGATATTTTGGGGGCACGTACAAGGAAGCAAAGCACGAACCATTTCCCTTGCAAGGGAATGCATCTATTGCACGTTCTGCTCCAAGTGCTTCTGGAGCATTGCCTCTGCAAATCTGCACTAGTTTTGTTTCCCTGGGTACCGAAAATCTCACTCATAGGGGATCAGGTCGGTGAAGTCTAATGAGTGCAGATTGTTCTTGTGTTTGTTTTGTGGATGCATCACGTCAATCCTCAGGCCAGACATCTCTCGCTTTCACCATGATTTGGTTTGGCGAAACTGGGCCCAGATTAGTGTGGCACTTGGCCCTATATCTGCATCATGTTGGTGGGCCAGAATAATGTTGGAGACATGAAGTGACATTCGAGATTCCAACGAAAGCTAGCCTGATTTTTGGACGAATTCAATTGTTTAGTTGGAAGTTGGAGCCCACAAAAAGTGAACCGCTTTTTGCAGCGGGGTCCTTCCAGCAACCGGGGTTTCCAGCTCCGATTTCAAAAAAGCGGACAGGCGAGACCCTGAACCTCACCAAGGCGGAATGAGTTCGGGACTTCCAGATTTACAGTTCCTTGGGTGATTCATGGTGATTCCTTTTTCGTGTGTGTGTGTGTGTCTGTTTTTAGGGCCCCCAAAAAGAAACACAAACAGTTGTCCTTTTGGTTTCCTTTACTTGGGATGTCTTTGGTCATCTTCCCGCCTGTGGTTTGGAGCCCGGTGGGTTGGTCCAGTGATGGTTTACCACGGCGTTCACGACTTGAGTCCTTCGGATAGGCTGAGGGTTTGCCTTCTCCCTGAACATGAAACTCGGGTTTCCGGGAAGCGCTTGAGCCAACAGCTGGTGAAAAAGAGGGGTTCAAACCACTGCCGAAAGAACCTTTTGTTGGTTTCCCTAGAAGGAAATCGTGATTTTAGACAAGTGTTGCCCAAACTCCGGGTAGCTTCCGGAGGGCAACTTGATTGGCGATTTCAGAAGTCTTGCAACAAAACCCAAGGGGCTTGTTTCTAAACTGCTCGGCGGTCCCAGATTTCCTGGGGCAAGGGTTTTCAGCTTTCCCGGTGGTTTTCTTCTTGTCACCCTCCCAAAGTACCCACGAACCTGAAAGAGGACTGCTTGGAGCCTTGGTTTCATGTTGGAAGCTTGCGGCAGCCAGAATTCATAGGATTCCGACCTGTCCCATCCCTCCGGCTTGCCCAAAGCCAGACCCGGGTGATAAAACTACGGGAGGCTTCGGGGGTGGATGGGGTTATCCCAAAGACTAGGGGAAATCTTGGGATCAGGGATGGGTCAACTGCTTGTGGACCAGCAACCTTTTGTGCAACATCTTAAGAACAGTTGGCCTTTACGAGATGATGGCATAAAAGGCTAAAATCCGTTTAGATTTGAACATTGACCACCGTTTACACATGGCAATGAACCACCAAGCTGTTTCGACAATGCCGGTTTGGTTTTACTTTCAAATCAGTTGGCTGCTGTGGGTATGATTTGACTGGCGGGCTTTCAGGGATAGATGGCACATGAGCAGGGGGTTCCAATTTTGAGCCACAGGCTGGCGAGCGAATACAACACAGGCTTCCAAGCACACCGGTTTCAAGCATCACCTTCTGGTTATGGTATATGTCAGGGGGCTTCCTTGCGTGGGTGAGGTTTCAAGTAGCTCAGCGTGGACTGTCAGAGGAAGCCCCGTCGGTGCCAGGGCGCAATTCAGTGCTGCGATCGGCTGCTCACTGTGTCTGCGACTCAATGCCTGTGCGCCTGTGACAGGTGAGAGGTGCTTCGCACCAGGTGTATCTTTTGACCCTCTTGTCGTTTCTTGTCAAGGTCCCCCAGTAGTGCCCTTTTACCCTAGGACCTAGTTCTTCTTGTTTCGGACAACCTGGTTTTGGACTGGTTTGAAAGGGAACCCATGCAAAATACGATGCCCGTTTTGGGTTGCTTCGTTTGGAGCAGCATGGCTTCGGACATTGGCGGCCAGCTTTCCGGCCTTCAAGTCACAGCCCCACCAAAATCATGGTTTTCCTTTTGTCCCATTAACCAGCCCAAAACAGGGGTAGCTGCAAAAAGGAGAAGCCACCGGAAAACTAGAATTTCACATCTAGCAACCCTGTTTGAAGCTACCGACAATTTGAACACTATATGGGTAGCTTCCCCAGTTTTGAAGACGAGTCTCCATGACCCTGAAGAAATGGGTGTTATCTTTGACCACTAGGGTCCACCCTGAAAAATGGGATCCATAAGCCCTTTATTTTGGGTAAGGACCCGGTCATGGAGACTCCAGGGCCACTCGCAACCCTTGCGCCGGGCGGTTTGCGCCTCGCGCCTCGCGCGTGAGAGGTCCCCCACCTACGCGGAGGAGATCCGCAGCGCGGAGGGCGGCTTCCGACTCCACGACTTCGCCCAGCCCGGCATGGACTTGACTCGGCGAGTCTCGTTTTTTTTTTTTTTTGGGGGGGGGGGTGTGTGTGTCGGGTTTTTTGGGGGCAGAAAGTTTTGTTTCTTCTTTTTTGGGGGTGCCCCAAGGGGAAAACAAGAACGATTCCGGGCATGGCCGGCAAAGCCGGAGTCCAACTTAGGTTGGGGTTTTCTCCAAGCTTTGGGAGTGGTTTCTGGAGACAATCCGCGTCTTGTGACCCAAACAAGACGAAAGGCCGTTGCTCCTTGAAGACCTGACTACTTTTGTGACCCAAGCTGCCTCAAGGGGCCACTTGTTCGCCCGAGGCCTACTATATAAAACTTATAAATGTTCATGGGGGATGGTACCAGCACCAAACATGTGCAAGGCCCGGCCTTTATCATCCCTTTGATCTTTTGTTGCCATAGGGAGTCTTTCCCCCAGTTGCCTAAAATCACACTATGAACCTCACCACATGTGGGTAAATATCTCACCAGCTGCATGAACAGCCGAAGCCCAAACAAACACACGTGTCCTTCCCAAAGGCAGACCCGTAGACGCAAACCGTGCGCACCAAGAACAAAGATGGACCTCGTCCATGGCCTTGCCAGGTGAACGCGAAGAGCTACTTCCTGGCGGGCATCCTCAATGGCGCGAGCCCAAGAGACCTGAGCAAGCGTGCCCTTTGAACCCACCTGAGTAGGCGTTCCTCGGCAAAGCATGTGTATATATATATATATGAACATGTACACATGCGCATATACATATGTATGCACATATGTGATTTTCACACATACATATATAGATATATATATATATATATATGTATATGCATCTGTGTCCCCTTTTGGACGGTTTAAACCTCAGCTTTTGAGGGTTTTACACTGAAACTCCTGTAGGTGGGGGGATGTTCAAAGGAAAAATGTAGGTAACGATGGTTTTTGCAAATCCTTTACTAGTTTGTCTTGTAGCGTGACCATGTCAGTTTCCGTCAACATTTGCTTGCGGGTGTCAATCCAGTTTGTCTCATCGAGCTTTTGTCTGGTTGGTGGGTGGGAAAAGTGAACCCCCTGTCTGCTTTGTTCGTCTATCGCCTTCAAAAAGCCAAGGCTCGGCTTTTTCATGTCCGGCAAACAAGTGAGCCAAGTGTGACCGGCATGCCCCCTGAGCTTGGCTCGCAAGTGAGGACACCCGCGAAGTCACGTAAGAAGTGCCAGATGGCCCCTTGATCCTTTGGTCTTTCACCCATTCCCTGTTGAATTATCTGCCATAAAAGTCTCGCAGCCCATTGCGAGGGTTGCCATGATATGAATACACAGAAGGAGCAGTTGGCCCCGCCTCCCCCCTACTCCAAATACCCGTTTTTTTTGGGTATGATGTCGACCCCCTGCTAAACAAGGAGAGATTTACGTGGAGAACCAGGTTATAAAAAAGAACACCACAAACTGAAAAAAACGGTATTTGGAGTAAGGGCTCTGTCCATCCTTTGATTTAATTGCGGCGCCTGTTTTTTCCAATGGCTGAGAGCCCAGGATCAGCCCTGAAGCTGTCATGGAACCTGAAGGGTCCTTCGAAGAGTCAAACCGGCAAGGCTCCGTGGCAGTGAAGCCAACACCATGTCAGCTTTCACCATTTAGGTGGACGCCAGCTTGGACACAGGTGTTGAATGGGCCGAAAAGGTTGGCCCCCGGATTTTCAAAGGTCTCCTTTTTGAACTTGGGACCACCCCTACCGGGCGTTTCCTTAAACATGGCTTTCCGTTGGACAGCGCCAAAGCTGGGCAGGTTCTGAGCTGGGAGTAAGACGAGCTTACGCGTGAAGGTGCGTTTCTTCGGGCTCCTTTCTAACTTCTGTTTGGCAACCCACCATGAAGTTATTCCTTTAGGGCCGGAATTTTCGTGCGCGGATCATCCGGACTCAAATGGGCGCCCCTCCTAACCAACTGGGAATGTTGCGTTGGGTGAAAGATGGCGCAATTCTCTCATGGTGGAGTCATCCCCTTAACTCGCCCACACCTACTGGGGATAGTGCTATATACTCTCACCCTGAACCTTTCGAAACCCTGGCTAACACAGCAAAGGCAGAAAGCCCAAATAGGGTTGCAACCAGATAAATAGAAAAGGTTGCAACCAAATAAAAAGGTAACAAAAAGGTTGCAACCAAATTTGTAACCAAAAAGGTTGTAAACCAATAAACGGGTTGTGATCTCTTTGTGTTTTTTGGCGTCGCCAGAAACCAGCTTGTCGAAACCCAAGGGAAGATTCCGGAGCCCCAGTCTCTGTTGAGGGGTGTCTTGTTTTGAGTTGGCACCCCTTTTTGGCATGGGAACACCACCGTGCTTTGTGTTTGAGGGCCTTATGGCACAATGAGACTCGTTGGGCAAATCTTGGTTGAGGGCCATTTCGGCGAAAATTGAGGGCCATATCGCCTCGAGTCAATCGACCAAATGAGACTCATTGGGCTTATGGCGCGTTTTTGGAGGGCCTAATGTCCATTTTGCCATTTGGGTATGCCACCAGGAATTGGACCGCAGGCTTTAGTCCATGTTTCCTTCCAGGGTTCCGTTTTGGGTACCAATTTGGATACCGATTTTTGACCCACTTTGCCATTGAAAAACCCCAGAAGCCGAGGTATCGACGCGAGCTGGGACCCTGTGACTGACGACACCATCGCCTCCAAGTTCAGCTCCGAGAAGCTGCCCGGGGTCCCGAAAAACAGACATCGTCTTCTTTGGTTTGGGGGTTGGGCCGTTTTTTTGTTTGCTTTTTTTCTTTTCTCAGTTTTTTGGTTTTAATGGAAAGCCACAAGGACAACCTGCCCATTTTGGGGTGTGTCTTTTCTGGGGGTAACTATTGTTTTTTGTTTGTTTTTTTTTTTGGGGGGGGGTTTTAGAGGGGAAAGTACAAGGACAACTCGCTATTTGTCGGCAGTGCCTAAAATAACGACACCCGGAAAAACCTCCGGAGGAAGCTGCCGGGCCAATGAAGTTGTGGGACTCTTTGTGACCTGGATCAACCCAAAACACTGGACAAAGTGCAAGACGGATATGCGCAGACTGACACGTCTCACAGGCCCAAAGGGAACTTTGTAAAAGCAGATGTTAAAACCCTCCAGAAGGGGTAATGGTACCATGGTTAACTTGTCTTTTTGCTGTGTGCGTGCGTGCGTGCGTGCGTGCGTGCGTGTGTGCGTGCGTGCGCGTGCGTGCGCGTGCGTGCGTGGGCGTGCGTGGGCGTGCGTGGGCGTGCGTGGGCGTGCGTGGTGCGTGCGTGGGCGTGCGTGGGCGTGCGTGGGCGTGCGTGGGGGCGTGCGTGGGCGTGCGTGGGCGTGCGTGGGCAAGCGTGGGCGTGCGTGGGCGTGCGTGGGCGTGCGTGGGCGTGCGTGGGCGTGCGTGCGTGCGTGCGTGGGCGTGCGTGCGTGCGTGCGTGGGCGTGCGTGCGTGGGCGTGCGTGCGTGGGCGTGCGTGCGTGGGCGTGCGTGCGTGCGTGCGTGCGTGCGTGCGTGCGTGCGTGCGTGCGTGCGTGCGTGCGTGCGTGCGTGCGTGCGTGCGTGCGTGCGTGCGTGAGTGCGTGCGTGAGCGTGCGTGCGTGCGTGCGTGCGTGCGTGCGTGCGTGCGTGCGTGCGTGCGTGCGTGCGTGCGTGCGTGCGTGCGTGCGTGCGTGCGTGCGTGCGTGCGTGCGTGCGTGCGTGCGTGCGTGCGTGCGTGCGTGCGTGCGTGCGTGCGTGCGTGCGTGCGTGCGTGCGTGCGTGCGTGCGTGCGTGCGTGCGTGCGTGCGTGCGTGCGTGCGTGCGTGCGTGCGTGCGTGCGTGCGTGCGTGCGTGCGTGCGTGCGTGCGTGCGTGCGTGCGTGCGTGCGTGCGTGCGTGCGTGCGTGCGTGCGTGCGTGCGTGCGTGCGTGCGTGCGTGCGTGCGTGCGTGCGTGCGTGCGTGCGTGCGTGCGTGCGTGCGTGCGTGCGTGCGTGCGTGCGTGCGTCGTGCGTGCGTGCGTGCGTGCGTGCGTGCGTGCGTGCGTGCGTGCGTGCGTGCGTGCGTGCGTGCGTGCGTGCGTGCGTGCGTGCGTGCGTGCGTGCGTGCGTGCGTGCGTGCGTGCGTGCGTGCGTGCGTGCGTGCGTGCGTGCGTGCGTGCGTGCGTGCGTGCGTGCGTGTGGTGTGTGTGTGTGTGTGTGTGTGTGTGTGTGTGTGTGTGTGTGTGTGTGTGTGTGTGTGTGTGTGTGTGTGTGTGTGTGTGTGTGTGTGTGTGTGTGTGTGTGTGTGTGTGTGTGTGTGTGTGTGTGTGTGTGTGTGTGTGTGTGTGTGTGTGTGTGTGTGTGTGTGTGTGTGTGTGTGTGTGTGTGTGTGTGTGTGTGTGTGTGTCTGTGTCTGTGTGTGTGTGTGTGTCTGTGTGTGCGTGCGTGTGTGTGTGTGTGTGTGTGTGTGTGTTTGTTCTGTTTGTGCTTGTGGCATTTGGCGTGTGTCGTGCCATTGTTTGTTATGTTGTGGTATGTTGTGGCAGTTTACGTGTTTGTTTGTGGCATTTTGTTTGTTGGTTATTGCGTTTGTTTGTTGTGTTTGTTTGTTGTGTTTGGCTGTGGTTATTATTATTATTATTATTATTATTTTCGTGACAAAAGTGGCTGCGTGATGTCTACTGGCTTTCTGTCGGGGTGTACGCTGTGTAAGCTGGGTAAATTTTGTGGGTTTTGTGTGGGGCAAGCGTGGCAGAACGAAAACTTGGCGCAGCTAAGGCCCGATTTGGATTTATCAAAGAAGCTTGTTTCTAGAAACCGTTTTGGATGCGCCTTTTGTGGATTTCACCTGTTCTTCCCCCTGTTGGTCCTTTTTTAGTACTCTTTTAGTACTCTTGTAACCTTATACAGGGGTGGAACCACAAAAACCAAATCCAAACCGTTTTCTGGATTGTTGTGTTTCCAAGCTTTGCCCTGGTACAGGCAGATTGAAACTCGAGACGCCAAGTCTTGCAACAGCACGTGTGCCCTACGGTGGCTAGGGGCATGCCGCAGGAGCTGGTCTTCAGGAAAGGGCCAAAGATGAACAACAACCCCGCAGAGTTGGGTAGGCTGAAGCTGGCGGTGTGTTTCTTGGTTTTTCTCAACTTGTTTTTAATCTTGTTAGGCTTTTCCTAGCTTGTCCTGCCTACTACTCTAGCTGTGGCTAGGATTTCTATGGCATTGTCTATGGACCGTGTTTTTGAAGAGGCTCTGGTTGAAGGGATGTCTAATGTGACCCTGGTACCAAAAGGCTTCCCTTTCCCAAATCAAGGCGTGGAGTATTGGGGCCTAGCAAAGGGGCCTGCAAAATTCACCAGTGCTGCAAAAGTAAGGGTGTTGGAGGTGTGGATACTTATATAGCAATAGCTTGTAAGGCGATACCTGCATATATATATATATATCTATATATATATATAAATACCCCATATACATGTGTGGTATACAGCCGCAATACCTCCACAACCCATACCTGAAAATGCAATTGCTGCTGCTGCAATGGTGCGGAACATCAGGCAATACCACTTGCATCACCTAACCTGCCTCGAGGGACCCCACTCAACATACCAGATGTGACCTTTCGGTTTCTCCATTCCCATGTGCCAATGTCCAAAAGCCCACTCCCTCAAACGATGGAGGTTCTCTAGAAAATGTTGCTTTGTGCTGCTTCCATGTTATTCTGCAGCAGTGCAAAATGGTTATTTCTGCATCCTTTAGGCAAGTGAGATGAAATGAGCATAGATTTCACACGGTGGTTCAAGGGGCCTTTGTTTCTGAATGACAAGGCCGGCGGGCCCCGAGTCTTTTTTTTCTCCTAGGTCGGTCGGTCAGCCGCCCACAAAGGGGCCAACGGGCTACATGCATTACTTGCGCATTGGAGGGCCATTTTGGCCGTTGTTTTGTGCTTTTCAGCGGGCTGGCTTTTTGGTTTCTGTTGCGTTCGTAGGTTTGTGGGGCTTTTGGTGGGTTTTCGACCCTAGACCCACCCCAAACCACAACTAAATCCACCCTAAGATACAACAACACCAACCTCAAACACCCACTAAAGACACCCTAAAGAATCCCCACTCTAAATCATAAACCCACCCTTAATCAGCAATAAACTATAAGCCCCAAAGCAGCTCAACCAGCTCTCTTCGAACCCCACACCCAGCCTAAACCAACCCAAACCCACCCTCAAGCAGCGCTAAACCATCCCTACACCACCCTCAGCAAACCCCATACCGACCCTAGACCCACCCGAAACCACTCCAAGCCAACCGTAAACTTGCACTGAACCAGCCCAAATCCACCCGAAACCCACACAAAGCCAGCCCCAAACCCACACCAAACTAGCTCTAAACTAACCCGAAGCACCCTTTGGCCAGAACCAACCTCAAACTCACTCTCAAACCAACTCTAAACTACCCCCAAACCCATCCTAAGCCAGCACAAAACCCACCCCTAAGCAAGCCCTACACCAACCCTGAACCAACCCTAAACCTTCCAAATTCAGCCTTTTGTTAGGAACTACTGAAAAAACAGGTTATTTGAGTGCCCGCCGGACCTAGGAGGAAAAAAAATGCCTGCCGAATCTAGACAAATAAAACCCATCCGCCCGGCCAAGGCCTTTCGGTCTGCTCCAAAGTTATTGTACCTTTCAAGGTTTGGCTAAGTATTGCCATGGTTCAAAACCCATGGGATCCCATTTTGGATAGGTGCACCACCCATTTTAGTCCATTGTAGTGGGGATTGGGTCCCGTTCACTGGGGGTACGACTTGGGTTACCCATGGCCATATGACGCCGGATCGCAGACGATGCTCCGAAAACGCCGCCGGGCACCGCCAAAAATCGCCGCATGGCGGTTCGATTTCTCGGCGACCGATTCGCCCGAGGTCTGGGAAGAAGGTGTGCAAGCGCTTTTTGCAGCGCAAGCTGGGGCTCCAGGACCGAGCCCCAAACTTCCCGGCTTTGGCTTGCTTGCTTCAAATGGAAGCAAACCCACCCAGTTCTTCCAAGCATTTCGCCACTGGAGGTAATCCTTCGGTAAATCTACCCGGTTTTGCATAATTTCCATTGGTTAGCTATACTGGTAGCTTGAAGTTCTCAGGAAATGACGTTGTGTGCCATTTGTAGGGTGATCAATATTTTTGACCCGCCAATGACCACGGGTGGCTTTTCTCATGTAGGAAAGTCACCTTTCTTCTTTTTTGGTTCAATCTCTAGCCTTTCAGATTTTGGCACCTGTGTCCCCCCAACACATCAACACAACGTCACAGGGTCATTGCGTTTGGGACATGCCCCGACCATGTTTCCCTGTCTGCGTGGTGCTCGCGCAGCCGGGCAGAACGAGTTCACGATGTAGGTCTTTTTGCAATTTGGATGCCAGGTTGTCTTTGTTGCATGTTGCTTGGATGTTAGGACTTTAACTTTTTGCCAACTGTAACCACTAAAGTGAAACTTTTAGCAGGGAAGCAGAAAGCAGCCGAGTTTTGCAATGTTAGACAACTTGCAGAATTCGATCCGCGCAACAAGAAAAAACACTACCATGCGCTATGTATTCTGACCAAGCTGGGGGTATGATCGGCAACCTGACATTGAACAGGACACCGTTTCGGGATCTTCACGCCCTGGTGTTGCCTTTTTGCCCGGATAGGGGCGTGCCCTTTTGGGCCTTGATCACCGCGGGCCCTTTTTTCCGCCCAAGTGAGGGTCGGATTGGCAGCGAACTAAGCCGTCTTGTGTTCAGAGTTCCAGGGGGTTCTAAAGGTTGCTCTCCCGAAGCTCTGGGGATATTGGGCGAACTGCTGAAATCGGCTGCACAAAAGCGGCCGTATTCCTTTGCGGCTATTTGGTTGGATCTGTGGACTCTAACTTTTTGGGAAGCAGGCCGGATTCTCCATTGGGCGCACAAAAAGTGAATCACTTTTTGCAGAGGGGTCAAAGCAACCAAGCATTCTTTCCACCCATCGTTCTGTCGAACACCCATCGAATTTCCAGTGTCCGTGAAACGAAAGATCTCTGAAAGCGATAGACGTACATGCTCCCTACTTGACGGGCCTGAGCGTTTGAGAGGACCGATAAGATACATAGGAGCCATGGAGCCGTTTTGCAGAGAAGTGGCTGGCTCGTCTTTTTAAGATACCCCCCTTTTGGGGGTGTTTTTTAAAGGGAAACAAAAGGAGAACCACCAATATTCAGGGTCTGTTTTGAGACACCAGTCGCTGCACTCAAGTGGGCGACAAGATGCTCCACTGAACCTTGGCTTCCGCATGCTTTCAGAACCTCCCCCCCCAAATAGGCATTCTGTAGGTTTCCCTCCGGGTTAAAATGTCCTTTCAAGGAGCTTGGGGAAAGGAAACAAAGGAGCCACAATCAAAACCTGGGTAGATGAAGGTTAGTAAGGGGCGATCCCAACCATAAATAGCTGCGGGTATCCGCCTTCTTAATCCTGTACATGGTTCTGGGTAGACCATTTTAACACCAGGTTTTGATTGCGACTCTTAAAGGGTAATTCCCCCGTCAGGCACCTTTTAAAGTGGTGCAACTCCAACTGATGCTTTCCGGCGGGATCAAGTCCGGAACTGTTCCCTAAAAAGATGAACTCACTTCTAGACTTTCTGGCTTATTTTGGGGGGAAATTCATTTTCTTGCTGGTCCACCGCCCGGAATGAGGGAATGACCCCCCCAAATTAAGGGAAGACAAGGTTCATTCCCAGCACCCGTCAGTCCCTACCTTACCAGGAAGCTTTGGTGGCAAACTTGCTTGTGCTCAGCAGGGAATGAGGGAATGCCCCCAAGAAAGACCATCCAACTGCTGGTTTGTTTGGGGTGCTGGGTTCATTCCAACCCATCCCCTGCGTATCGCAGCAGGTAAATCCTTCAGAGGCCTAGGGCAGCTCTTGCGGTTTTCCCTCAGCGTGGCAAGGCTTTAGCCATTTATCCATCAAGAGGTTCGGGGAACTCGGAGGATTTTGGTTACGAGGCGATTTCGAGTTGGCAGCCGCGTTGCTTTGGGGATATGTTGGTTTTCCGTGGGCCAAGTTGGGTTCAAGCGTTTCAATGGCCGCGGGTGAAGCAAAATGGGCATCCCCAGCCGGGAGGGCGACCAAACTGCTGCGGGCGTATTTAGGCGTGTCTTTGTTCGGCACCCCCCCGAACAAAACGTGTGGGTTTTCCTTTTGGCTTCCCTTTAAAACCACAAAACAAGAGGTAGCCTCAAAACAAGAACATACTCCAATTCAAAGATGCGAACAATCGCAGATTCGGCATGCATGCAATCCGCGCTTTGTGGTCCGTAGGAGGATGAGGATGCCTGCATCATCAGCTTCGTGGGGCGGCTGACGGACCAAAAAGGCGCTGATTCGCTTTGGTGTGTGGACCGGTATGTCTCTGGCGCACGTGGGTGGGGTTCGGGAGATTGACGGGGAACCGCGTTTGGGTGTTCCAAATGGGGACCTGTTGATCCATGATTGTACTTGTCTGCGAATCGGCTGGCGACATTTGGTTTTCAGGCTGGACTGCGTTCCCGTTTTTGAGCTTTGGGTGGGTTGGCTGGGCCTAAAAGAGAATTGGAGCTGAATGCAGACAAGCATACCTTGGTACCCCAAAGGGCCAATGACTCAAAGGGTACCTTACGACCCGAAGGCGTTGACCTGATTGGCGCCTGCGTCCACTGGCTCATGGAGGACTGAAGGGTCGCATGGGACCGCGTTGTTCCGCGGTTTGCGTGCTCACATCTTGGACTTGAACCGATTCTTTGGGTTTGGAGTATGTTCAGTGGCTAGCAAAAGTTCATTTTGTTGTTCTTCAATCCGCTCAGGTTGTGAGTGCGAGCTTCCCCCAAGAATAGGGGAGCTCTTCAGGATGCCTCCAGCTGAAAATCACGTAATTGGCACCACGCGTGACGCAGTACTTGCTGGAAAAATCACTAAACATGCACAACAGCTCAGTTTGGCTGCTGATTCATTTCTCCTTGCTTCATGCAGATTTGTCGGTTGTGTTTTGCTTGAAACGGCCTTCCGCCGGTCTGCGGAAAGAACGCACCCGTGTGAGAATGAATTCAATACCACTTCCTGCAGAGTCTCGAACTGGGGTTTGATTCAGGCAAATCTTGTCCAGATTTGTTGAGGGCAGGGCCCTCTGGAGCCGGCAACTCCAAACCACCCCCCACTCATATGCCTCCTGAGGCAACGAATGAAATGGATGGGAGCCCAAACAACTATGCCAACACGGTTGGTCGAGACCCCAAGGGGCTCCCCTTACAGAAAATTCCTTCTTGCAGCCGAGCCAAGGCCTCCGGCTCCCAGCATGCACTTTCGGTTTGGATGTCCTACGAAAAAGTTGCGGGTTTTACAAAACGAGTTTTCTACTGGTTTTGTATTTTTCGGGCGTTTTGAGCCGAACTACGGAAGATGACGCTCGAGTTCTTCAAAGAAATACCGCCGAACCTTGCTGCAATTTGCAAAACTACGGCCGTCCCGTCAAAAAATACGGCCGTTCACTCGAAAATTATGGTCGTCCCCCGGGAAAAAACAAATAAAATCTGTCACCCCCGCCAAGCCTGCAGATTCGCGGCCAACACAATCGAAAGTCTCCAAACAACCTGGTCAACTGCTGCTTTTGGCATTTCAACCCTCAGAACCGAAATGGTTTACGTTTTTACCCCGGAATTGACTCATGCACCAACATGCACTAACAGAGATGCTGCGTGTTGTTTGGAGCCGGCTTTCAATTCAAAGTGTGAAGATCTGCCGCCAAAACCGCAAGAATCCCTGCCTTGAACAATTGCGGCCGTGCCTTGGAGAATGACTGCCGCGCCGAGAAAGTACGGCCGAATTGGGAAAAAAACAGTTTTTTCCGGAACACCCAAAATAACTGGCGGCCTTTTTCAGTGAGGTACCGGGTCGTTGTTTTGCCGTGCAGCGGCCTCAAGGACCACAAAGACGGAATGTCGAACGCAGCTGCCCAAGTGACGCTTCACCCAACTTGTGGCTGGGTCCCTTGTGTGGAACCTGTGTTTTTGGGGGGTTGAAATTACACTAGCTGTTCTTGTGTTGGGGTTCCTCATTTTGGCGCCTCTAAGCAGGTGAGTGAGCAACTGACGGTTCCAAGCAAAGATAGGCACCCTGGGTCCGTTTGTTTTTGTTGGATTCACGCCTGGCGAATTGGCATTCTCATGGGCCTGGTGTGTGTTCCGGAAACCAGGCCTCCTCGAGGGCCTTGTGTTTTTTGGCGGCCCCCCAGGTGAAGTCAATTTGTGGGATTCTCACTCAACACCGGAGACCTTTGAAGACCCCTCCCTTCAAGTGGGTACCTGAAGAACCAACATCGATACGGTATGTTTCAGGATGTCACTTTAATGTGGTGGTTTGGGCTGTGGCACTTGATCAGCAGCGTGCAAAGCCCAGCTCGAAGGATGCTAAGGGATCCACGGCAAGAAACCAGCGTTAGGCTGGTGAGGCAAACATTTGCAGACACTGGCCGCTGGCCTTCTTTCGAGGGAGCTCAAAGGAGATTGTTCAAGCAAATGGCCCAACCTTGGCGCACTGATCTTAGCTCCGGAGAAGTCCGGAGTGGCGAAGAATCTGAATTGATCTTCCATAAGCGCCATTCCGCATCTGAGCCCAAGCATCCTCTGCTGAATTCTTCCATAAGCGGATTCCGCATCTGAGCCCAAGCATCCTTTTCGTGTTCCATGTCGGTTTCTGGGGTTATGGATAACTGGCTCAGGTGCAGCTCATCATGATGGGCAACGGCGAAGAGCACTTGGGCGGGGGCCTTTTGGGCTTCGCAGCTAACTTGGTTAGCCTTTCCGCTACAAGATCAGCTGAAGCCACATGCAAGATATCTTGAACCGGCATTTTGTTGGGACGCTTGTTGGGGGGAAGTCAAGTTGGAGTTTTCCAGTGGAATTCGGGTCCATCGGGACAGGACCCTTTTTGTTGAGTGGGGCCGCTGCGAAAAATTGAACTGCCCCCAAATAGGGCTTCGATGCCTTTTCCTCCAATCGGATTAGTTTGCAGCTAGGTTTTGGTAGGTTCAGGCTGTCATGAACGACTCATATTGCGTGTAAGTTGCAATAATTTAGCACAAACAGTTCGGGTGATCCACCTGCAATTGTTCCGTAGTTTCCGGGGCCTGCTTTCCGTTATTCCATTTGAACCGAACTAATCGGTCAACCTTTTGGAGTATTGACCTTTTGCGGGGAGGGGGGGGGGTCGCAACAACATTAAAGTTGTTGTGGCTCAGTTTGGATCAACATATTTGCGTGCTCCAAATGCAGCGTCTTTGGATAAATGTCTTTAAACAAAAGGTGTTTTGGGTGTGAATTGGAAACAAAGTGCCCCACTGGAGGACAACAGCATTATGGTGGGGATTGTCCACCAACCATTGTTCCGCATTTAAAGCTAATTGGGAAACAAGAAGGAGAACCCACCTTCTTTTTGGGGTGGGGGGGGGGGGGTCATTTTGGCGAGTTTCCCTGTCTTCTGGAATGAATAGTGCCATTCTTTCCACACCAAGGATGTACTTGTTTTAGAAGATGGAACAAACATCAAAAAGCAAACTCAAATGTCTATAATAAGTTTTTCCACCTGAGCCATGTCACCTTTTTCACCCCTGACCCCTGAATAAAGGGGCACCGTATCCCTCAAGGCGAACCCTTACACGCGGGCAGGGGAACCGGATGGCCAGGCAACATGCTCCGCTGGGCTGAGTCCAGCTGGAAGGCTGGAATCGTTCCCATGGCTCAAAGCCTCAGCAACCAAAGCGAGTCGACGGGATCGATCTCTGCGAGCCTTTTGGGTAAGCTGTAAGCCCCATTTTGGGTAAGCCCGCTTCCAGTAAAGGTCAGAAAAGGCGACTTGAGTGAGCAACCGCTTGCATAAGATCAAGGTTTAGAACTTTCTTGGAAGGGGTTCTTGGATTGGTTCGCAGAACCATTCCACTGCGGTAGGTGCTCATGGGCAGCTTAGCGACCCAAGTGACTTTAAGCAATGTAGGGAGGGGGTGAAATCAAGGGTCCCCACATGTTTCGAGCCCAGTTACAGGTGGGGACTTTGCGAAGTGATTCAAATGGCATGCCAAAACCCCCGGATCGTTCTGGGTGACTTCATGTAGATGTTTGCCCAGGTGGCACAGATTTGGGGTGCTCAAGGGGGGACCACAAGCTGAAGGCCGCGAGAACCAGGCTCAGCAGCTATGGCCACAGTTGTTTTCACAACCATGTCCTGGTTCCAAATGGGCAAACAACTTGCATGTTGCTCGGATGTCAGAACTTCGACTTTTTGCCACCTAATGGGTTTTCCATGAAGCCACCAAAAGTTTTTGTTTTTTTTGATTTTTTTTTGCAGGGGAGTAGCAAGCAACCGAGGTTTGAGAATAGTGGCTTAGAAATGTGAGGGCTAAGGGTTTGGCCCCGCCCTAGCTGCTAGTGACAAAGGACCATGAACTTCCTGTGGCTTGCGAGTGGGCTTTGAACCTGGATTGGATACTTGGGGTGTCCTTAGTTGCCTGAGTTGCGTGCAATTTCAGGACCCTTGCCACCCCCCCCCCCCCCCGCAAGACCTCCAGGTTTTGATGGCGAAAATCGGCCTAATAAGCCTTTGACCTGGAGGCGTTTCCTTTTGGAGGGAGTGGAGCGGCAGGGTCCTTGAGGCTCGCGTTTTCCGAACCTCCCGCAGAAACCCCGGCAAGGCCAAAGCCGGTTCTTGTCATGTTTTGTTGAGTTCTGTGATTTGTTGGTTCTGTATGTTTAGAATGTCAACCCCGGATGAACAAATCCCTTGGTTGATTCTGATTGGGGTGGTGTCACTTTAGTGATTCACGTTTGGAGGGGCCCCCAGCCACTTATTTGGACAGCTTCTACAGAAGATCGGGGTGATTTGTGTTTATTGCGTTTGGTTTGGTTCTGCAACGGTTCGGTTTGTTTGCTTGCTTGCTTGCTTGCTTGCTTGCTTGCTTGCTTGCTTGCTTGCTTGCTTGCTTGCTTGATTCATTAGTTGATTGTTTGTTTGTAAGTTTCGCGTGGCAAAAGAAGGAAAAGGCTTAAATGGCTCGCAGCAACCTATTGGAAAGTTTTCCCTTGCCCACCCTTAGGTGGGATGTGGGAGTTTCCCAACGATTTCAGAAAAGCCCCCACAGCGGCGGGTAAGAAGGGAAACCAAGAGGAACCCGCCTTGCCATAGTCGGACGACTTTGAAAGCATGTGTTTTCCATGCGATTCGCCGCATTTTCCCGGAGGGATTTGAGTTTTGGACCTTTCCTGGTCCAATCCACTCGGGAAGCGAGAAGAATTCGCCACACGTTTGGTGCAGGTGCCCATGGGAACGGGTGCCGTTTTATGAGTTTGTCCCGACTTTGTGCAAACCATATGTTCGAACTCTGTGGGCCTTTTGCTTACTCGTTCCTAGGACCAAAATCAAGGCTTTGTTCAATGATTCAACCTCAGCCTGTCTCAGATCATTTGCCGCCCTTTTAAGGGCCCTTAATATGTGCATACATCCTTCTCCAATGATCCTGACTAAGTTTGGTTTAACAGTACCCACTCCATTCTATTCGACTCGAGGTCCTTAGATTACACGGGTTGTTTCTGATTGATGCCATGTTTGGGGTGGGAGGACCCCTTGTCTGGCATGTTTTAGCTCCCTCTCTCGTGGAGTTGTCCTGGGCTTGGTCAGGGTCCGCCACATGTCCAGCCTTTAAACATATCACCATCCTTGGGCCTCAAACGTGCTTCACACCACCCCTGTCGAATCTTCCGCTTGGAACCCGGCCAGCAGCCAGGGCCGGGTTTGCGGGTACTGGGGCTTCAACCCCCACACGGAGAGGGAGATCATTGCGGGCTCCGACCTTTTCCTGATGCCGTCCAGGCGGATACGTCCCCGAACTCGCTCCCTGAGTTCCTGGACTTTGCTTTGCCGTTTTGGAAGGCTAGTAGTTGCAAGCGAGAAAGGTTGGACTGTTTTCGGCGTGAGTTAAAGGGTCGCATTTTGAGGGCTCAATTTCATTTTTTCAGGCGGGGGGAATTCTGGACATGTATTGGCCAGGGCCAAAGCAATGATTTTTCCCCATTTGGCGGTGCATTTGGGCAAAGACCTTAAGAAATTATCACGTTCTCAACACTGCTTTTGGGGGGGAGTTTCCTTTTAGACCTTCATTTAAATCATAGTTTTGAAGATGTCTCTCTATTGAACCCTGTTTCCGGCAGTGGGGGTTCCCTGGTAGCCGCGCGATGCTGGTTTGGTGGTGTTTGTCCGGAAACGGGTGTCATGAGGCAAATACGCTCTTATTAAGGCCTCCCCCCTTCTCCCTTCCCCCCCTCTCCCTCCCTCCCTCCCCCCCCCCGTCAAGGTGAGTCTCCAAATGGCGGGTTCCTTACCTTGGAATTTCGTGTGACACAGGTCCCCTGATCCATAACAAGTTGACGCATCAGTGATCGCAATGTTCCCCTTAGCGCCTGCAGGAACGATCAAATCCTTTTCTAGGAACACGTTTGTGCTTTTACTGTTGCTGTGTCTCTGCCAAACCTGATTGCTCACTATGTTCGGCTTTTCACCTGTTTGCTGCTGTCCTTGGCTACTCAAAAGGTCATTTGTTCTTGAAGGGACCCCTGTCAATTGTAGCGACGGAGCAACATGGATATGTTATATGAACACAAGGCTAAGTCGCGCACGTTCCTCCGGGCGCGAGGTATGAGCCCTGCGGCATTCCACAGATGTGCCGCTGCCTTGGACAGGGCTCCGATGGAGGGCGGGCTTTTAAGGCTCGAAGTGAGTTTCCTGGAGGGCCGTGAGTTTTCCAAGTTTGGGTTTTCCGGGCTGTTTCCTGAGTTTCCTGGTGCATTGTGAGGCCGGAAATCCGGAAGCCAAACTAAGCCAGCCCAACAAGAGAGGTGCCCAAAATGATTCCTCGAGCGATTCCTCTTTGCAAGGCAACCCTTTTTGAGCAGGGCGATTCCTTGTGGGGTGAGAAAAAGGTTGGAACCGTTGAAGGGTCAGTGGGGCGCTGAAAAATCGAATTTCTTTTGGGACTCGTTGTGGAACGACCTGTTGGAGCTCAAGCGTCAGCTCACGGTTCAAGTACTTGTGGGACTCAGGACGCATAGCTTCGCCTTATGGTTCGCGCTCAAGGAATACAACGAGCTCACCATGATGTAGCTCATTGGCCTTTCTAGTTCAGGTTTGGGAATAGTTGTAGAATGACGGAAAGCGACTTTGTCGCTGGAGTTGGGTTATGCGTGCCAGAGGAGGGGGGGGGAGCCGGGAAAACGCTAAAATCGCAGAGCGCTTTTTTTTCTGGGCAAGAATCATCCTAGAGCTGACTCCAGGGCTCCTTAAAAGATACAGTTTGCCCATTTGAAACATGGCTTTTTCCCCCATTGCCAAACTAAAGGGACACCACCATTTACCAGGCAATGTTCAGGTGCAGAATGTAAGGATCCCTGCTGACCCTGTGTTGTGATTGTTTGTTGCTTTTTGTTTGAGGTCTGGTTCCAGCAGTTTGTTCGTTGCGAGCGCCTTGCTGCATCCCCTGAATTTAATGATGTTCGCTAGGGATGCTCGTCCCCTTGCCTTCCCTTGCTTTCCCTTGCCTTACTTCTGGGTGAATTATAACGACCTCACACGACCGAATTCACCCCAAATGGTGGTTTATGTGGATTCGGAATGGCCCCCAAACCACCTTATTGCAGGCCGGTGAAATACTATATTTCACCCAGTTGCTTTCCTTGTTGCTTTCCCTTGCTTTTCCGTGCCAATCCCTTGCCACCCCCGGGCTTTGCCCTGCTTATCTTGGTGTTCAATTGGCTTTCCGAAAGCCCTGCGTTCATTTCTTTCCCCTTTGCGCCCATGCGGGGGACGTGAATTGAATCTGAGAAAACTGAAGGGGTATTTAGGACAAAGGGATCACCTAGGGAAACCTATCAAAAAGCTAGGCCCGAAGGCCCATGACCCCTGCCTTAGACCTCCGACCCTTCGAAACCTTCACCAAGCAACTCGCGTGCATCTCTGGTCTCAAGGGCAGGTTCAGGACGCCAAACTAGCTGGTGGTTGGAAGGGAGCCGTTCTGGAGCTGGGGGTATCCAATTGTGTTTTTTGTTTTCTTTTGGAGCTACCAGGAGTTTTGTAAGGACATGGTATCTAATACATGGAACCTGATAGGGGTCTCTTTAAAGATTGTACAGGAAAATGGCTTTCCCTGATCCCTTTGTCAGGTTCGCTAGTTGATGGGAGGGCAAGGACACCAAATCTCTAAGGATACCAGTACTAGCCAAGATGCACTGTTTAACTCCTCATCAAATTCGTCATCGACTTTGTGCAAAAAGAAAACAACAACATATTGTTTGTTGTAAAAATATTGGTGGTCTTATTGCTTTAATCTTGATGGTTGTAAAAGTTTTGGCTGTCTTAAGGATTTTTTGCACCTGAGGCGCCATGAAGTATGGCACCATCCCCTTGGTGCACGCCACCGGCGGTCTCAAGGACTCGGTGAGGAGCCCCTCGGATTTGCTTCATCTGCCATACGGTGGATGGTTGCGAAATCCATTTCGCATCACCTGACAAACCACAAAAATGATTCGGTTCCCCGGTAAGTACCAACAAACAATGGTTTCAAAGTGGTTTTAAAGTGGTGCAGGATAAGTACCAACAAACAATGGTTTCAAAGTGGTATTAAAGTGGTGCAGGATTTCGGCCATCCACAGTAGTATACAGCGAGCTCACCTGGGGGTATGACGAGCTCACCATAATTTCGGTCCTTTTGTTGGGGATCCCTTGAGTCAGCTTTTGGAATGATAGTAAAAATTGTAGCTTGGTAACATGTTTAATAAATATTCCCCTGCTGAATTTCAAAGGCAGCCTGTCACTACTGGACATATTTTCGCATTTTTCCATTGGCTTAAGCAAATGGTAGGGAGGCTCAGGTTTCACCGCGAAATGCTGGATTTGAGCGGGCTGGAGACCGACGAATTGAGGAGTTTCGGCTTCCATGGCCTGCGGTGGAAACCATCGATGTGTCAGTTCCAAGGGGGGTTCAAAGGAGCCCATAGGTCCCCCAGCAGTGCCCTTTCTCACCCCTGTTTTGGTTGGGAGGGTTCCCCTACTACAATAGACTACAGAAAAAGTTGGTACCCTTATTCTAGCCTCTCAACTGGAGGACCTAGATTCTCAAGTGGTTTGCCCGCCCGCCCGCCTGGGAGCTGAAGTGCCGCGTCAAGTGGTTTCCCCTCGCAATGAATCAAACCCGAGGAGAAGGATAGACAGAGGGTGTCGGGGACGGTTCAAGGCCCGTGAAAGATGGTTTTTGTTTTATGGGTGCGCCCAAGAAGGCGAAGTCTTGCAAACAGCTGCAGATTAGAGACAGCAGCAACCGACAAGTACCATTTCTGGAATTACTTGGTTGTGGGTAGACCACTTCAACACCTGGCTCACTTGCTTGCAATGAAGATTTAAAGAATGGAGCATGCAAGCAAGGGTGGCCTGTCTCCCCAAATGAACAACCCACAAAGTTTGCCTTCGTCCCTGTGCGTCCCTGTGGCCAATACAATGAGCAACCAAGAAAACCAAGCACCGGCTCAAGCCCCTGCTTGTCATGGAACTAGGGCCCTGAACCCAAACCTTCGACCTACACCCGTAAGACTACCCCTTGAACTAAGCCGCGAACCAAACGCAAAAAGAATCGGGGCTGGGCTTTGAACTGGCAGTGGCGCATGGGCGTTGACGGGATTTGGTTGTGTGTTGTCTGTTGGCTTTCCCGCCCCGAAAGGTGATCCTGCTAAACCTCCCTTTTGGGCTTGGGGGAACTGAGGGATTCCATTGAATCCCGAGGAATCTCCTGAAAAAAGCGCCTGTTTGGGGCTTCTTTGCAGAGCAAATCAAGGGTATTCTTGGGGTTCCCTTTTCACCCCGTCCTTTTGGGCTACTTTGGAGCACCTTTTCGGGGGGAACAAATCAAGGGACCAACCCGGAGTAAAAGTTGCGAGGTTTCTACACCGAGCCCGAGACGGCCACAGGTCACGCCCGAGAAGATCCGGAGGGATGTGGCGTTCAAAAGTTGCAACTTAGGTTCCATTGAAACAGGAGCCAAACTGAGGAAATGACGGGACCCCGCCACTATGGCTGTTTCGTTGGATCGTTGGACTCTTTCTTTCTTTCTTTCTTTTTTTTTTGGGGGGGAAACGGTGGATTTTCCGTTGGACCCACAAAAAGAAGTTACACTTTTTGCGGAGGGGTCATCGGCAACCAAGCCTGTGAGTCGTTCCCATGTGCATCATAGGCCCAAAAAGCTTTCATTTGTAGAGCTGTAGCCGAACCACATAAAGGTTTCTCCCGTGAAAAGTGGCAGCCTCCCAACGAAAATGGTTTGGTTCTCACCCATGATCTTCCACTACGTTTTCCGGGAGTATTTGTTGGTGAATCTGCAACCAGGGTTTGGCTGCTCCCATGTTCGCTTGCTTTTTGTTGGCTTCTGGACTTTCCACTGAGGGCTTGATTTTGATCCAACATGCACGACCTTTTCGTGTGGTGTTGTTCATTGCCCGCCGTTTGCCTTCCCTTGCCCTTTTGCCATTGTGGGCTCCCCTTTTGCCTTTCAAACTAGCAACATGTTTACAATTTGCAGGGCCAAGGGTTGGGGACTTGAACCACTTTAAGGATAGATGTTGTCCCCTCAACCCCGAATCCAAATCACCCATTGCCAGCAATCAAGCTGATGCATTGCTGTTGGATTGCGCATGAAGCCTGCCAGTGCCAGGTTTCCATGTGTGGCCATTGAACGAGGACAGCACCGTGGCGGCACTTCTGGTGAAAGCCTGCGCTGTTCTGTTCAGTTTTTGCCCACTCATGGAGTCCGACAATGGGCTATGGGAGCCGTAGACGACTTTAGATCCTTGACAGCCTTGGGTTAGGACTGCTCAGACTGTCGAATCCGCCCTTTGTGCATCCTTAAAGCCTTGTATGACCAACAATGGTTTGGGTATAGGCTCGTTCCACCATCTGGCTTTGCCTTAAACAGAGAGCCCGTTCTTTGAGGTGGTTTCAGTTGGGTTTCCCCAAAAAAAGAGCGGCCCCAAAGCATACTCAAACAGACGCAACCCATGACTCATAAGGGATCCACGCTCCACGCCTTCTGAAGCCCAGCTTGGCATCGCGCCCGAGGCCTGAAGAAAGCGGGGGCTCTCAGCTCGAGTCGCGGTCGAAGTGACCCCGACGAAAAAAACTCAGCACCCTCGAAGCGCCTTTTGATTTGTTTTGCCGATAGAATCAGCGCCCATCAAAAGTGGGCTTTGGTTTGCCATGTTGCAATCAGGAGAGAGGTTGGTCCGTCACCCTGCCCAGAAAGGCTCCCAGAAGTTTTCTGCAAGCTGGGCTTTCCTTCGGCATTTCTCCGAGGACCCCTGTAGAAAGCAGTGGGCAGTCGTGGCTCAGGTCATTTTTGATGCGATGAGCATATACTTCAAGCAGCCCGAGGCGGGATTGAATCATCACCTGGGCCAAAGTGACTTTCCTTGGGTGCTGCCAGGGAAAATGCGGGCAGCCAGGTTGTGCTGCCCGAAAAGAGAGGCTGGCTATTTCAGAGAATTTTGGATCTTGTTCCTCGTTGCGGAAGATTAGACAAGTTTTACATGGAACTGGCCCAGCCCCCTTGGCTGCTTGCTTCCAGAATTTAACATCATGAATGGGGGGGGCCCCTTAGCTGAGGAAATAAGTGGTTTTCACTTGCCTTCTGGTTTCACTCAAGCCATGGCTTCCCATTAGGCGATGGCTTCCCATTAGGGCGGAATTCGCCACCAGGAATTCCAGAAGATGATTGAGAGGGCCATGGTGCAGGAGCTTCGCGGGACTTGCATTTGCCGATGTCGAAGATCTTTCATCAGGGTTTCCTATATCCCCCCCCGTTTAAACATCACCGTTTGGGCCAACTTGAAGCTTGCACCAAATCAGTGGCACATGGGCACACGGGCCACAGCAAACCATCCTGGGCGGGTGTTGCTTGAAGGCAGGCCAAAGCCAAATCAGAGAAACCAGCCATTTCGTTGGGTCACATTTGCGACACAAAGCCACATGAGGTTCGGTTGGACAAAAAGACGTTGAGTCGATAATTTGTATATATATATATGTGTATATATATATATGTAGGTTTGGGCGAGACATGGAGGACGAGCTCTAAACTTCCCGCGAGCAGGCTCACTCATGCTCACTCATTTCCCCATGTCCTATTGGGTTGAAACAAGCCGTTTTTACCGATATGCAGTGGGGGTGGGTGGGGGGGGTAGGGTGGGGGGGGTGGGGTGGGGGGCTGCAGCCCTGGAGCAGATAGTGGTCCCATCTTAGAGTCCCCCCGACATCATTCCACCCCCGAAAGCCAGGAGCAGTAAACCGTTTTGAAGCTCACCGATAATCGTAGAAGGAAAAAATCACAGATGAAGCCGCGACTCCTGGGGAATGCGCTATGTTTTCCGGTTTCGGACGAGTCATTTGCAAGCACATCCTCTGGCTTCGACCGCATCTTACCAACTTGCTTTAGTTTGGCAATTTTTCCCCGCACCCTCACTCCAGCCACAAAAGCTACTTTGGGGGAAGCCCCCCGTACCCGCTGCTACGACTCATTCTTGGAAACCCGGTTCCGTTTGTGTTCGACTTAGCTGAATTGGATTTGATTCTCCCAGTCAATCCAGACCTGTGGTGCCATGGCGTCCTTTCTTTTCAGTGGAATCCACCTTGAAATCACTCAAACAAAAAGGTGTTGTTGGTGGGTTTTGCTTATGGAGGAGTTTCCTCAAACCCAGCCAAGGCCAACCCAGGAGCTGTACTGGAGGTTTGTTTGGCCCCAAAGAATGGGGGGGTTACTAGGTTACCAGCCCAGTATACCAAATCCATCTACTACGTGGTCTTGTTTTTTTCTCTTGGTGGGCGACCCCTTTTTTTAGGTAAGGACCCCCCAACACCGGCGGTTCTCACTCCAAAACGGCGTTTCTTTGAGAACCGGGGCCAAAGGGTTGCACCCACCCAGCGGCCGCTGAGGACTTCAGCTGGCCCAGAGCCATCGATGACTATGAGCGACACTTCGATTGGACCATGGCGGCCCGGGCCCCCAGCGTCGAGCCCAGCTGCCCAGCTCCAGCGTCCAGCGCTGGAGTTGGGTGGGTTGGGGTGGGGTGGGGTGGGGCGGGGCGGGGCGGGGCGGGGCGGGGTGGGGTGGGGTGGGGTGGGGTGGGGAGTTGGTCATTTTTTTTCGGAGTAGCACCTGCGATATGCAGACATACGGGTATGGGTCGTCAAAAGTCAAAACTAAACCAGCACCTGTTTGACCCACAGCCATACAGACATATGCGTGTATGCATACGTACATAGATACAGACAGATATAGAGAGATACAGGCAGACATATGTGTCCGTAAGTACGCGCGCACGCACCGTACGGTGCGTACGTACAGACATACTTCACATACGTAAAATACGTGCATACATACATAGAAACAGACAGACATACAGACAGACAGACATGCAGGCAAAGATATGCACGTACGAACGTGAGTACAAACAAATTTAACATACATACATGCATGCATCCGCACACACACACACAGACTGTCATACAGTTGTACAGGCATACATACAAACATACTTAATCTCTTTTCTTGTTTTAAACGAACGTACTACAAACATACTTAGCATACGTACATACATGCATGCATGCATACATACAGACAGACATACAGACACACGGAAAGACACATGTGCGTGAGTGCGTGCCTACATACTTGCGTACATACATACATGCATGCATACATACATACATAAATACAGTCGAGAGACAGACAGACATACAGACAGACATGTGCATACGTACGCGCGTACGTACGTACATGATATTAATACACTTAGCGCGCGTACATACATGCATACATGTATGCATACATGTATACAGACAGACATAGAAACAGACATAAAGACAAACATAAAGACAGACCTATGTACGCACGTATGTACGCACAAACTTTCGCATCATGCGTACATGATGCTGACATGGTACATACATATGTACATTACATGCCTACAGACAGACAGGCAGACAAGCGGACACACACACACATGCGTACATACAGGCAAACAGACACACACACACACACAAACATACAGACGTATGGACAAACAGACATACATGCAGACACAAACGCACATACAGACAGAAAGAGAGACAGAAAGACATACAGACATACGGACATACAGGCATACAGACATACAAACATACAGACACAGGCATACAGACACACAGACATACATGCAGACACACAGCAGACACGCACAAACATACACAGACTGGCAGGCAGGCAGACAGACACACATAAAGACATGCAGACTGCATACACACACACAAAGGCAGGCAGGCAGACAGACAGGCATACAGCCATGCAGACATACACACAGACACACCCACACACACACACACACAATCGTACATAAATACCGACGGACAAAAAGACATCACATTTGCATACATGCATGCATCCACATACCTACCTACCTACCTACCTACCTACCTACCTACCTACCTACCTACCTACCTACCTACCTACCTACCTACCTACCTACCTAACATACCTACACACCTAATACATGCGTGCATGTATGCATCATGCATACATGCATACATGCATACATACACACATACACACATACACACATACGCACACACACACACGCACATAGACACATACACGCATGCCCCGCATACACACATACATACATACATGCATACATACATACATACATACATACATACATGCATACTTACGCATGTACGTACATACGTATAACACATATGCCGTGTGTCAATATACACATACGTATAACACATGAACACAGCACATATGGGTCTGTGTTTTTTTTATCGTGTCAGTTCTTTAGTCTTCGTGGGAGGTGGGGCTTGGGCGAGCCATACCCCCGAATCATACCCAGAACCATACCCCCGAGCCATACCCCGAGTCATACCCCTGACAAAAACACAAAAAAAGAACTTGCAAGAACTGTGGCATTTGCATGTGATCCATGGATAGCTGGAAGCTATGGGGGGTTTAACTTCAAGTGAAGAAGGGGGTCTTGTCAAGAAACAGTGTTAGAGAGCTTGACATGTGGACCGATGCCAGGGGGTAGGGACTCCGAGGCAATACCTGGTTCACTTGTGGTTCCTGGATCTATTCTTGAGTCTGCGATGCTTGCATGGTTGGGCTCTGATGTCATGGGGCCAAGTACAGTTAACATGTCCACTCACACACTCACTGGTTACTCGTGGGGGGCCATTTTGGCTCAAGTGGTCCTTGACACTCGGTTACCCACCTCGGTCTCGGCTTGCTATTTTCAATGGAAAGTGCCAATGGATGGAGTTATAGAGCAATCCTGCGGATGTCCTGGTACTAGTCTAGTACCAGGACAGTCTGTTTGTAGCATCCGTGGTGCTGTGGCGGGGGGGTGCAGCTTGACGTAAGACTCTGGCACTTGCAGGGCGCTGTGGCGGGTGGTGCCGCTGCTGAGCTTGAAGCTTGGAGCTTGCTTCCTGCAATCTGTCCGACGCGGTGGAAACAGCTGTCTGTCCTGGGCGACTGTCGCAGTGAAACACAAGCTGTCTTTGTGCTCCTGGGGCACTCTTGGTGTCTTACCGGTCGAAAAAAAATCTGTCCCCCGATTCATACCCCCGATTCATACCCCCGATTCATACCCGATTCATACCCCGACTCATACCCTTCTGCTGCCATTTGCAGCCAAGAGCCTCTTGCGCTCTGGGCAGTACTAGCGAAGCTATGCCGCCCAAATCCTCAGAAGACACAAAACTCAAAGAGAAGCGCTGCAGGAACCAGCTCGCGCCAGAAGGTGGGTTCGGAAGGCTTACTGCGATGTATCAAGCGCGACACGGTGCACCACCTGTGAGAGGCCCACTAGCCTCTGCGCGGCTGCCGTTTGAGGATGTCACGCTGTCTTGCCCTTACGCTGGTTCGTGACTGGTGCGGGTGACGGGCCTGACTGGGGGCGCTTCCCCTTAAGCAACGCTTGCTTGGGTCTGTGAGCACGCCGGTCGCTTGAACTCCAAGTGGAGGTGGCAATGACGTTCGCCTCAGGCAGTGGCTCTGCGCCTTCCACCTAGCGCAGCAGCTTTCGCTAACCCACTCACAAGCGCCCCAGGCTGGCTTGTAGCAACTAAGCGGTCCAAATTCTCACGGCTATCCAGTTGCCAGCGCACGGGAGCTTTGCAGTGTCCAAAGCCACAAAGCAAGAGTTCAGAGGCGCGCGAGCCATACCCCGAATCATACCCCGAGCCATACCCCGAACCATACCTGCGATTCATACCCCTTATACCAACCTCCCGGCAGGCTACTCGCGTGTTGACAGGGTGCGCGTGCCAGTCCTCCCCGATTCATTGAAAACCATGCTTTGGGGCCATTCTTAAGCAGGGTTGCTCCAGTCATTCCTTTTAGGCTTAGATGCTGAAGCTGCCATGGAGTGCTGTCTGAGATGGTGCTGGTGATTTCCTCAGGTTCTGGCCTGCAGGGCGTCCAAAAATTGTTTTGCTGAAATGAGCTTTGAGCGGGGGAGTCCGAATGGGCACCCACCCAGTTTTGGAGCGCTTCTGATGGATTCCGCCGCTGTTTCCTGCCAACTGTCATGGAACCAGAAGGTTGGGTTTCTCCGAGCCTCGAAAAGATCAAAACCGGACAAAGTTGGTGCGACATGTTCCGTTGGTTACGACCAGCCAAAGGCAAAAGGCAGGGCCAATTGCCAAGTGATCCATTGTTTTGTTGATCCCATCATTTTCGGGAGTTCTTCACCTGGTTACCTTGGTGGCTGCACGGGAATACCCCTCTGGAAATGATCATGGAACCTCAAAAGAGGCCCCCAAAAGTGAGACTCCTGCAAACTTGCCAAGCGAAAACGCCCCAAGCCGGCGCGAGGATCCTCCCTTCTGGGGCAGGCGTGTGGGCTTTCCCAAACGCGCGAGAGCCTTCAGCTCGGGGTCTGTGGGGAGTGAAGCTCAATGTCTTACGTACATTTGTTCGCCCAATGTCAAGACATGTTCTAGGGGTAACTTCACCATTCTTTCCAGGGATCCTTCTTTCTAGAAGACCACCACAATCCCTGGAGAAAAGGATCTGGTTTTAGAAAAGACCGTTGGCTGAAAAGAATGGAAGAAGAATCAACCCCTAGAATGTTGCATGTTTCAGTGCCTTTTGACGCTTGAATGCAGATGCTTTGCGCCGTCACCTGTAGCACCCCCCAGGCCCGCCCTCGCACGCGCATCAGCCCGGAATGTCCTCCCAGCTGTTTTTTTTGGGAACCCGGGGAGCCCATGTCACGAAAGCTAGCTTTAGCTAGCTGAAGTTTCTCCTTGCGTAAGCAAGGTAAGGGGCTCAACTGCCGAAAGATTGATTTTTTCAATTATTTGAGCCGAAAAGATTGAAAAAATCAATTATTTAGACCCCCCCCCTCAGGCTCGATTCCTCCTTGGTCCACCCCTCCCCCCGGGCAGTGGCTCAGTGTTTCAGCAGTCTCGGTTTGCCCGTTTTGGACTTGGTGCTATGAACTTTTACATGTTCCACCGATTCAGCTTGTTCATTTGAGACCTCAGTCTTCTCAGTAAACCACCTCGCAAGAATCTTTGCACACGCAGCATGCAGAACCCAGAGGTGCTTTAAGACAGCTTCTGACGCCTCTCGTTGTTTTCATTTTTCAAGGTTTGCCACGCTACCATGTGCGTTTGCATGTCGCATCCTACGAATCTTGCCGGGCCTCTCGTTGTACACAAGCTACCTCTGAATCCACTCTGTCACCGACCCATCTCATGCAACAACTGCTAGCTTTCGTTCACCCGCTCCTCAAGTGCGTAGACCTCTTGCCTTGAGGCTCAGGCCCTTTGGGATGTTTTAAGCAGCTTGTGGTTGGCGAGCTTTGCCTGTGACGTTCAAGGGTCAAATCATGATGGTAGTTTCCCCCTGAGCTCGGGATCCTTTTTTTCCAGACAGCCAAAAAACAGGCAGGATTTAGAAAAGAACTGCGGTTGTAACAAATGGTTGAAATCGCGCGTGAGAAAAGTATCAGGAACGGTTTCAGAGATTGATCGTTTTCCTGAGTTCGCCGGGAGAACTCATCGAAATCATTTGGGCATGTCGGCATCTGAAAACAAGGGTCCCTGCAAAGCAGGGGGTTACCCTTTTGCTGATTCACATGGGCCGAACAACCCGTCCATTTCTTCCGTTGATAGGGTTAAGTGCAGTCAGACCCATTCGATTCAGCACTACGTTTGTAGCGAGTTCGATGACCTCGACGAAGTCTCTGGCCACAGTTTTCCTCAAACTGTGGAACAGCTGTTTTTTTTGTGCTGGTTCGGGCTCAAGAGGTTTGGATTTAGTTATCGTGGGCCTTTTGTTGCCATTGGGACGCTGGTCACTAGAGCCACAGCTTTGCTTCCCCTTCTGCCAGTCTCAAAATGGACTCCACAGGTTGGTTTCCTTTGGCCCTTTAAAGCCAGCCTGAGTTCAGGGCTTCCTTCCGAAAACAGATGCCCCTAAGAATCATAGTGGAAGTTTGGGGGTCGTGAAAGAGCGTCGGAAGTCTTCCAGATTTCAGGTGGAATTTGTGTGGGCGAGAAGGACCCAAGGGGCACAGGACCTGACTGGATTTGTTTTTTGCTTCTCTCCAAACTCCAGGACCAAAAGGGAAGTTTGGATGCGCAAAAGTCGCTTGCAAAACTCCATCCAAACTCCAGAACCTGATGGGCAAAAGTCGCTTGCAAGCTTGCTTCCCAGTTTATGGCACGTGAGCAAACAAACTCCCCACATACGGTCCACTCGCGCAGGCCGTAGCTGAACCCGGCACTCGAACGAGCTCGAAGCATTGGCTCGCGAAATCTTTGAACAGCTCGGGCACCCGCGTCCTTTTCCAGTGGCTTTCCCGGGTGCAGCCCCGAAATTTTGGGGACCCCGGTGGTTACCAAACAAAGGAACTATTGCACACATCGATGGAGTCACATGAACAGGCGCCAAACTGCGAGAGGAAAGAATTGAAGCCGAAACGGACACGTAGCCGTGCTCGAGCGGAACTCTTTGTTCCCGGACGCGCTTCTCCCCTGTCGGATGCTGCGCGTTTCGTTGCTGAGACGCTTCGAGTAAACCGTTTGCGAATTGCGCTTTTCCATGGGGCCCTTTGCGGGCCTCGCTTTTAAGCTCATAGAGGGTTGCGAAAAGCTCGGGGGTGACTGGCAACAAGTCAACTGGCCATTTTTTCCCCAGGCTGGAGATACATTTGTCACCCCCGGGGAGCAGTCTTGTGCTTTCCAGTTCCGGTCAAGTGGATTCGATTCCACTGGCCTCCTTGCATGCAATGTGCGCTCAGCAACTCCCTTGCCCGAATTGCCAAAGAGTCCATCATGTGACCTTTGGTATTTGTCCACATTTTTCTCATGTTCGGGCAAGTCAGAGAATCACCCTGCCAAGTAGGTGAGCTGGAGCGTGAAGCATTCCCGCGTCTAGAGGACCGAAGGACAGACAAAAGCTGGCCGACCCTTGCCTCGCTCTTCATATTTTGATTTTGAGAGGATTTCGTCCATGCACAGTGGGAGTGGGGACAGCCGAAGTAGGGTCCAGGAAGGGACACTGTCAAAAGGGTCATGACCATCCCCATCCCTTGGTGCATAGAAATCTGTGTTTGATGCGTTGGCTGTTACAGGGGAACCAGTGCAGGGAACGCGGTTCACGAGGTTCCTGCAAAAAGCCAGGACTAAACCCACGAGTCAAAGGTACTTCGCTCCCCCTCTCCGGGTCCCTCTCCAGGTCCCTTGAACAGTCCTCTTTGCCTTTTGGGGCTAATCTGGAATCGACCACTGTGAGGCTTCCGCATGAGACATATCCGAATTGGAATTCGGTGTCTGTCGACTGCTGCTTCGATCTGTGAAACGTCCTTTAAACGAAGGCCACAAGGCATAGATGCACCGCCCGGGTTCCAAAGCGGTAGCAGTTTGGGTATGGGTCAAAATTATACAACCAGGGGACCGCAGGTTTTAGTCCTACTTCAAAGGAACCGGCCAATTTGTTTGGGGGGGCCCTCAAGAAAGACAACTTTCCGTGATTCAACCGGTGGCAAAAAAGGCCAGTTGGTGCTTTGCCGAGCTTTGGCTCGAGAAGCGCTGGTTTGGCTGAAGATTTGTAGCGCACATTTTTCTTTGCACCTTTGACTTGTTCTGCTTGAAGCATCGCACTCTGACTGCGATGCTTGCAGCCGGCGCGCTGGCTCGGCACACGAGGCCGCGATGCACCTGGCTCAGGATGTGGACTTCCGAGAAATGGGAGACCGTTCAGAGGAAGCCCCTGAGACCAATTCCCAAGGAGTACCCGCTCATTACATGCACACTCCGGAGGCGCAATTCATTCACCTACTTTATGGCTGACCATTCTGTAGACCCCTTATATACAGAGTGATCCCTTCTTTCAGATTTCGGAACGGTGCAAAATGAGCATAGAACGGCAGATGGATGAAACCATGCATATATTTTGAGGAAGCATCAGTTGGTGGTTCATCCCAGTGTTCACAGGGCTTCATTCATCCTCGCAGGATTTTGTCCATTCAGACCGGGAAGTGTATCCTTTGTTTCCGCCGTTCGACACTCATTTGGGTTTCTCTCCAACTAAGCCACCCTTGCCAGATAGTAGTCCTAGCCTTCCAGGCGTG